AGAGAGAGAGAGAGAGAGAGAGAGAGAGAGAGAGAGAGAGAGAGGGAGAGAGAGATGACAAGCAAAGAGCTGCCTCTGCTGTCTGCATTAATTCAGCGCCGATGCCAAGGACTTGACATGAATGCGTGTGTGCCCTGCTTATATTGCCATTGCAGTAGTTGTTGTTGTTGTTGTTGTTGGTGCTGCTAGGCAAACAGGAACAGCTGCTACTTCAATTTCGAGCGCATTTTTTCAATGGGACAGGCAGTAACGACAACAACAAGAACAACAACAGCCACAGCAGCAGCAGGCAGCCAGGCGGGCTAAACAGGCTTCGGAGACTGGCGGGATATGCAGCCTGTCAGCCAGTTTTAATAGTCCGCATTGAAAAGATGCGTTGATCTCGTTCTCATATCTTGATTATCTTACAAACAAATTTTAATTCAAATATGATATCGATGTGCTACAAGCTTGGTTGTATTCAAATATTTTTGTTTATTGCTGAAAGTTAACATTTTTAATAAATAAATAATAGTTGGAAAAAATTTGTAAAAATTCTGTGGCCTGAAAAATCGTTAGACATATCAATTCTGAAAAGTTTTTATTTTTATAAATTAAAACAATCAGTCCCTGCCAGCAGGCAGGGGGCTAAATATATGACCGAGTAAATTAAATATAATTAAATAATTTATATTATACATAATAATATATTAATATTATTAATGTTATTTTTTATCTAGAATGTAACTTATTTTTTATTAGTTTCACTTATGACTAGATATATGGTCTAGTAATAATTATCATTATAAAATACTGATCCTGAGATGATAATACATAAACACGTATACTTAATTTAGTATTTGATCTTGTATAAAAATATAATAATATCTGATCATTAACCCAATAAGACGCTGATTCACAAAATGGAAATATTTAATTTTTTCCTTGTACATTAAATGTAATCTCTGAAAATTTTAATTATTTATTTATTTATATTCGTAAATTGCGATTTCACCACGTCTATTGGTAGGTAGAGAAAACATTTTTTTTTTCAAAATGGTACGAATTCCCAATAGATGTACTACTTTGTTTATTCTTATCATCCCGATATCCCTTCTTTTTTCCTGCAATATTCATAGTGAGTACACATAAATTCTTTAAAGGCCCTCGTAGTTTTTAATTCAGCTGAGCTGCGTTTTCTGGGTTAAAGTAATACACACACGAGCATAGTATACGTATCTATAAACTCTATAATTGCAAATACAAATACAGCCACACAGTCGTAGAATTGGATTTGTTAGATAAGCAAGTTTGATTCCAAATTTGGCTGAGCCATAATCAGCATACATAAGAAAATCTATGGCGCAGAACAAAATAACGAAATGGCAAACAAAATAAATTAGGATACACCGTCCGAGAAGTTCGCCCAATAGGAATAGGAATATGGAAATACACAGAAACCAAAGTACAAACCTCTTTGCGACATGCGAAATGGTCAATGTTTATTGGCAGCCAAAAACAAATTGATGAATAAACAAATTTAAAGATCGAACAGCAACAAGGACGACAGCGACAGTGACAAGGAGCACAGCGCCGTGCGAGACATGCAAGCAAACTACATGGATGAAAATTTACGCAATTTTGGGTCTACGCAGAAAACTGTACCACCACCCGATGAGACGACTGCGACGAGGACGACAGCAACGAGGACAATGAAGAGAACCTAAGCAACGAGTGCGCGCTGTGTGCACAAGCGAGAGAACATGCTGCCAGCGCGAACGGGCGAGTAGCAAAGTAGCGAGTCACATATGCACAGAGAGAGAGAGAGAGAGAGCGACTGCCACATACATATGTGTTTGTATTTATATGTCACAAGTGTGTGTGTGTGTGTGTGTGTGTAAAGGTGTGATTGTATGCCATTTGGGTATATATGTGTGTGAGTAATATGCATTGTGTATATGTGTGGGAAAAGTGTATGAAAAATTTAGAACTCACTTGTGTGTGCGCTTCGGTTGAGTTTTAATTTAAATACAGCCTCCCGCTTATACCTCTGTTCCTTGATATCAATCTCTCTCGTTCACTCTATTGTAATCCCGCTAAGTTCATTTGTTGGTTGAATTAGCTTTGTTTTTGTAGCTTATTGCACATTTTGCTTTTGTTGTATTTTTGGCTTTACTGGAACAGAACGAACTTTTCTTTGCTTCTGTTTCTATTTTGTCACTCCTTTTGTGTGCTACACTTTTGTCAATGCTTGCTTTTTGTTGCTTACGCTCAGGCGCTCTTTCGCAAATTACGCTCGCTCTCACACACACTCGCTCTTTTCTATTCTTTTTTTCTTGCGGCTGGCACTCGCTTTATTTTGCACAGTTGCACAATTTGTTGTTGTTTATTTAACGCGGAGCTATTTGCGAGCTTTTAACTGTATACGACAAAGTTGGCCTGCAACGTTTGGCGACTGTCTGCACTTTTATTTTAGTTATTCGTTTCGTTTCTTTTATTCTTTTTTTTTTTTCTTTTTTGTTGGAAGCTGCCGGCTGAGGTGGAGTTCTCAATATAGTATTAAGATTTTGCTGCTGTGGTTACAACTATGTATGTATGTTTGTATATGTACATGTATCTATATGTATATAGATATTATGAACTGCTGCTTTAAACACACACACGGGAACGGGCGCGGATCAGCAACATGTTCTGAGCTGTCGGAGCTGCGAGCGTAAACTGAAACCAAGACGTTCCTGGCGAGGACGAAACAGCGCAGCCAAACGCCAGTGACAGCGACGCCGACTGCGACAGCAAGCACACATACACACACAGAAGCAGGCGAACGGCCAGACACAGACATAGAGCGTTGTCCTTTTAATGCGAACGACGGTAGTAAAGCGTAATGTGCAAGAAAAACCAAGAGCGAACGTTCACAATAACGAGAGCAAAAACAAGTTTGACAGGATAATGCTTGATATACGTGTATGTTTATAGAAATAGGTATATGCGCGTGTGTGTGTCTGTGTGTGTGTGCGGAAAATGCAGAGGAAAAACGGCAGTTGGTTCGTGGCAAACAATAGATTTTTGCGCAGCAAATGCTTTCTGAATTATTGGCAAAAACGAGCTGCAGCGAATGCTTTACAAAGGAAACCAAATTTTCTATGTTGTTCCCTTTCTGTCTCTCTCCCTTTCTCACTCTTGCTTCTACAGTTAAGCCGCAAAGAGACCGCTAGAAAGACTATGTAGTAGTAAAACTGCGCCGGGCTTACACATAATTACGCTTAGTATTAGTCCGCGATTTAAAGAGCTCTCTGATCTGGGTAAGGAATCTGATGTATCGATTCCTTCCATCTATAGTAATCTACATATTTTTCAGCTGGTACATACTTGAATGCTTTCCGGGAAAATCTAAATGTAAAGCGTCGATCAAAAGTGGCTGAATTTCATATGATCGTCTTATACTGAATAAATAAATTATCTAAAGAATGAGGAAATTGTTTGTAAGAAACCCTGACTTATAATAAGTATGCCCTTTACATGTAAGAAATAAAAAAAAATAAATAAAATAGATCTGAAAACAGTATTAACGAGCTCTGATCTCTTCTCACGAGACAGTTAAATTTAAATTTGAGCTAACTACAAAATTGACTCGAAAGGTTTACTTTGTGTGTGTAGCGCCTGACAAGCTGCTCTTACGAGATGTACTCTACCTACAAATAGTATAATAAACAAGGAGAAAAAGCCTCTAAGTACAGAATTTAAGCAGCCGCAGCGCAAAACGAAAAAGCGAAACCAAACTAATTACAAGAAGAAAGAGAACGAAACGCTGCACAGAGAATATAATTTACAACATGTCATTAGCTGGGCAACGCCTATGCTCTGTGCCATGGGTGATGGCTAGAAGGAAGTGAGGAAGAGGAAGCGAAATAGAAAGAGGAACGAGCAGCAGCAGCAAAGCCAACGACAGGATCAAAGCGTGACGCGAAAGGCCGTACGCGCAAAAACTGAACAGCGCAGTTGTATTGAGGCAAAGGAGCTGAAGTGCATTTCGTATGGGGAGCCGGATCCTGCGCGCTGTTAAACTCACAAACTTGTTTTTTACAAACGCAGCTCAAGCGTAGCATGGAGTAAAAGAGAGACAGAGGTTGGGAGGGGGAGAATGAGAGAGACAGCAAGACCGAGAGCGACAGAGCGTCGCAGCGAGCTTGAGCAAAGCCGACGAGAATGACCAAATGGCAGCGTCAACTTCCGGCAGGACAAGAGCAGACACACATACACACATAAATACATACATATGCGCACACACGTTGTGTACACAATGTGGTCATTGACTGAACGGTAAAAAGCGAAAACAGGAACGAAACAGCAGCAGCTAAGGCAACAACAACAGCTAACTGACTGGCGATGACGTCGTCCTGCGGTCGCTGTTGACGTCGCGTCGCGACGGCTGAAGCGAAAGCGCGTAGAGAACATAATAATGCGCGTCCCCTATTCACTACAGCGTGTGCTTCTATATACATATGTATGTGTGCGTATGTGTAAATGCTCGTATGTGCGCCTGTGTATGCGTGTCTCGTGATTCACACAGCATATTTTCTAATACAATTTCATTTTCTCATAAAATTTCAATTCGCCAACGGCCTCAGCTGCTGCGCCAGGAACAACAGCACCACCAACAACAACAACAAACGTTATTTATTATTCTAGCGCTTTGCTGTGCCCGTTTTATATCCTTTTGTGAGGCTTATAGCACACGCGTCATACAAAAAGCAAAGCGCGCGTCCCCTTTTTTATACCCTGAACCCATTGAAAATGGGAAATCAGGGTATAATGGTTTTGTT